CCTTTTATGTATTTGTCTGTGATAGCGAGAAATGTTGTCACTCAGAGTACTCGTATTTCGAGCAGTGCCAGTCAACCCATTTAACCTTAATTTATACGATTAATTGTTAGTAAATGGAGTCTTGCATGGGTAAACTTGTACGATCGCTTTTGTAGTGGCATGATACAGCTTTGTCCGTTTCTTTGTTTCATTTCACAAAACAGCTTTTTTATGGAAGATGTGTGTACGGTATGATGTCGTTCTCAGGTTGGGTATCATGTAACATCCGAAAATCATCCGAACTACCTCTATTAGGAAAACATTTAAAGTTTATTTGATTTAGGTTCGCATGAAGTACAAGCAGAAACACAGTAATCAGGCGCAAAATGAACTTCCAAATGCTGTTTTAGTTTCTCTACTTTCCATCATTTTGGGGTCGTTTCAATGCAGAACAGTCAACGTTTTCGATAGTGTTGTTTGCGTTACAAAGTGGTTTATTTTGAATATTCATGGTTGATTAACTGATTTTCCGTGTCCCCTTCCTCTACTCCAGTTATTCTTCACTGACCAAGAGATCCTTAAACTAGTGGCCGGTGTATTTCTAAAGGATGCATTTGATCGGTTGGACGATTGCGTCTATAAAAGCACAAGCGAATCCTCCTGCTCAGAAAGTCTTTTCGCTTACTCCGCGCATGATACCAACGTCGCTGCACTGCTGGGCGCGCTAGGCGCCTACACCGCAGAGGACAGGCCGCAGTATGCTGCTCTTGTCACAGTGGAGTTATTAGCCCCCTCCGCCTCCGATGTCCCTCCTGACGGTGGCTACCTGTTGCGTCTGCACTACAAGCGTGGGTGGAGGGACGAGACGGGCTCATACGTGCAATTCGGTGCGTGTCGCGACCGTGAGGCGAAGGAGGGTTGCGCTTTTGCACTGGTGCGCGAGTCGGTAGCAGCGTTATTCTTGACCCCGGAGAAGGCCGAAGAGGCCTGCAAGGCGGAGTGGCTACCCTCGAGGTACCGGCTCATCGTGGCAATCACCCTTTCCACTTTCCTTGCTATCCTATTCGTCACCCTTGGGGCGGTCTACTGCGTGGTGTGGAGGCAGCGCTACTGGCAGTATGGCCAACAAGGAGGCAACTTTGGGGTTGGTAGTCACTTGCCCTATTCGCCGCTTGTCTCATCACCATCCACTGCCTAGTGTTGGTTTCATCTCGTGCGTGTCTTCTTTTTAACCTGATGAAAAGTGTTGTTGCGAGTGTTCTTTTGCCATCTCGTGTTTCCAGGCACCCCTCGGTGTCACGTCCATTTTGAATGTTTATCTGTGATGTCTTTTCGGTTGTAATTTGGAGAAGCAGATGTATTGCTTGTTCAGGCATTCTGTTCTGTTTGTCGAATGAGGTTTCAATTGTGGTTGTCGTTTTTATCATTTAATCGCATAGTGGACGCAATTGAAGACTGTTTGTCTCGCTTGTCACCTCGGATTGTGTTGTCCGTTCAAGTTTGTCGTTGCGCAAGTGATGTGAATTGTGGGGATATGCTTGTAAGGGTTGGGAATGTAGGTGAATCGTTTGCGTAGAGGCCTGGTTGTTGTCACGATCGTATTCACGGTGGAGAGAATTGTTTAATGGTGGATTAGAAGGCAGAGTCATAGTTCTTGTCCGTTGTGCTGCGCTCGTTGTCTTAAGCATGTGCTGTGAGGCGTTTGCTGTGGAGAAAGTGGAGGGGAATGGCTATTCGACTTGTTGGTGTTACATTGCAATGAATGAGGTAGTTTTGATGGCAAAGAGCGGCGTTTTGGATTGGGTGGAGCATTCAGCCACAAATGAGAAGCACAATTTACTGC